TCTTCCCTCACCCCAACAGCCTGCATCCCAGAGAGCTCACTCCTCAGCTCTCCTGGCCCCTCCACCCCAGAGCCTGTTCTGACCACCTTCCCTAGCCTAACACCTCTCTCTGAGCCTCTCCAATCCCCGCAGGTTCCAGAAGCTTCCTGGCCCCTCTCCCCTCCTCCCACTCAAATCTTCCGACACCAGCCTCCCTTTCTCCCCCACGGGCCTGGGAGAAGCTCTCCAAGTCAGGAGGGGAGCAGAGCCCGCACATGCATAGTGGAGAGAAACGTTCCTAAGGAGACACACAGCCTTTTAGCACCTTTTCTAGCACGCTGGGTTCGGAACAGAAAGGTCCATCAGACTGACTGTGGCTGGCTCACAAATCCACTTTGTTCTTTCCAAAGTTCTCTATCTCCCTCTTTGAGCAGCTTTGGGCATGGAGGCCAAGGTCACAGGGCCAAGAGCCAGCTCCCAACGCCCTTCAGGCTGTTCTGAAACCAACACTCTTGAGGTCCTGTGCCAGAGCCAGAAGGAGCACCCAGTTCCTGGCGTCTGGGAGAACCCACGGGCCACTTCTGCCATGCAGAGCTGCTGCTATAGCAGGGCCCCCACGTCAGTCCCGACTCAGGGTGACCCCACTTCGCAGAGCAGGGCTGCGCCAGAGGGTGTTCCCAGCTGTGAGCTTTCAGAAGTGGTCACCAGGCCTGTCTGCCGAGGCACCTCTGGGTGGGCCTGAACCAGCAACCTTTCGGTTAGTGGTCAAAGCACTTAAAAAACCATTTGTACCACCCTATAGTGTACCGGACAAGCCCTGTGGCACAGTGGTTATGCATTGGACTGATATCCATGAGGTCAGCAGTTTGAAACCACCAGCCACTTCGAGGGAGAAAGATAGGTCTTTCTACTCCCGTAAAGTTAGTCTTGGGAACCTAAAGAGGAAGTTCCACCCTATCCTATAGGGTTGCTATAAGAATCGACTCCAATGGCAGAGTTCTGAGTTACAGTGCATTGGGCCACATGTTCCCCTGGCTCAGGGTCACCTGTGACCCCCAGGGTCAAGGATGCACAAGAGCTGCGGTACACCAGGCAGGGACCACCAGAACAGAACCTCCAGGGGTGCGGTAGTTACATAATCTGGTGTCAATTTGGGACTTGAGAGGATTAAGGGGTGGAGTCTAGCCTGTCAAGATAAAACCAATGAGGTCTCTGTGTGGGCATGGCCTTCTCCTGAGAATTCTGGGAACTCCTGGATTTTCCTCCTCTGAAGACCGGAGATTCACTCTCTCTCAGTTCACTCCCTAGGAGACTTTGTACCTGACAAGACACATGTACTGTGCTAGTGCCATGACCTGGAGTAGGCACGTGGAGACCCCTGCCAGTGCTGATTGCTTACAATGCCACTGGATCCAGAAGACTTTGTACCCACTGGCCTGTGATCCTCCTGCATCTGGCATTATTGCATGTGTTTCGTGAGTCTGAAGAGGACTTTATGGATTGGTATTGGACACATGGGATAATATTGGACTTACAGACTTGATCTGGACTAGGCTGGGATGTTTTCTCAATATTCAATTGCTCTTGCATATAAACCTTTTTCTTATACACACACACACACAAACACGCGTTTCTGTGGATTTATTTCTCTAGTCTACGCAGACTAACACAAGGGGGTGACGGCAGCCGGTCCCCTGCACAGGTCTCAGCCCAGCACAGGGCTCACACAGGCCATTCCGCTCCAGAGAACACTCATCTGCACCACGTTTCAGTGATTCCTAAAGTCAAACTAAACTGCTGTAATGTCTCAGCTTCCCAAACCCTCGGTGTCCTTGGGAAAAGTAGCTTCTTCAGCCAGTCATCACCTTCCCTCCCGCTCCAAGAGGCAGGACTCCCTTACCTGGCTCCACAGCCAGCAACGTCGTCGTCTGCTGTCTCCATCCTGGGGTCTGCGGGATGGGTCTCTGAGGAAGGCCAGGACTCATCTTCGGCCAGGGTGTCTGGTACACTCGTCTCGCCAACTCCCAGCTCCCTGGCCTCTGAGAGGTCCCTGGCCTCCAGGTCTGGTGACAGGCCCCTGTTGCTCCTGTGGTCCAGCTCTGGGCACTGGTTGACCTCGCCCACCCCATGCTCACGGGCTAGAGGCAGGCCCCCAGAAAACTCCGTGTCCCGCAGCCCAAGGTCCTGGGCCCAGTCCATCTGCCCCACACCACATCCTCGTGGCTCAGGGGACTCCCCTGCCTCATCACAGGGTACCTCCAAATTCCTCAGGCCCAGGTTGTTGGCCCAGTCCATCTGGCCCACCCCAAGCTCTCTGGGCTCCCCGGGGCTACAGCCTGCGCCTGAGGCCATATTTCTCAGGCCAAGGTCAGGCGTCCAGTCGGCCTGCCCCACTCCATGCTCCCTGGACTTGAGGAACTCACCGGCCTCCATGCCAGACCAGTCGGTCTGCCCCACGCCACTCTCCCTGGCCTGACAGTGGCCTCCTGCCTCCTCCACCCTGACATCAGAAGTCCAGTTCTCCTCCCTGACTCTGATCGCTCTGAGATCCTCCGAGCCCCTCGTCTCCAAAGAGCTGAGATCCACGTCCCTCAGACCCAGGTTGTCTGACCAGCCCATCTGTCCCGCAGCAGCCTCTCTGGTTTCACTCGGGCCATCAGCACCCAAACAGCTGGACACGTCCAGGTTCCTGAGGCCCAGCTGGTCAGTCCAGTCCATGGCTGTGGTCTTCCCTGGAGGCACAAAGGGGCCCCCTCCCACCTGATCAGAAGGGCTCAGGCCAGCACTGCCAGCTCTGTCGTTGCCAATGATGCCAAACTGGGGGCTCCTCTCGGAGCAGTAGCTGTCACTCCAGTCTGGACTCCCGGCACTGAATGCCACTGCCGTCGGCTGAGCTGGGACAACACCGAGGCTGAACTCAGTAGCCCAGCCCCGCGTCCCCTGCTCCCGCTCCTCCAGGTCGGGGTCGCCAGGGCTCTGGGCACCCACCTGCTGCCTGCCCTGCAGCCCGCTGACCTCTGGGGTGGCAGTGTTGCCATCTGGCTCCCTCGGCCCGAGCACCCTGTCCTGTGGCTGGGGGCTGCTGGCACTGAACAGGACCTCGGGCTCCCCAGCTTCCAGGTGGCCTGCATCGGAACTCGTTCGGCTCCGGCTGTCTCCACCACTCAGGACCTTCTTCTCAAACTCCTCGTCCTGCTGTTGGGCGTCCTGCAGGCTGAAGCCAGCGCTGAAGCCACGGTCCTGGGAGGCGAGGAGGGCGGCACTGCCTCCGCTGCTGTAGCCGCTCATCCAGGCACCCGGCTCCAACGCCAGGCCCTGAGCCTCCACATCACGCACCCCGCCCAAGGCGCCCAGCGCAGCCTCTCTCTCCTCAAACCCTGGGCCATGCTGGTCCACATCCGGGTTGCTGTAGGGACCAAGTGGGTCCTTCGTCCCAAGCTCAGGGTCCTGCTTGTCATGGGCATCCCGGCTGGTGTAAGCACCCAGAGAATCTCTCTTCCCAAAGTCCCAGTCCCCCAGACCTGCATCCCGTCCAGTGTACGCTCCCAGAGAATCTCTCTTCCCGAATTCCTGGTCCTGGAGTTCTGCATCCCGGCTAGAGTAAGTACCTCGGGAGTCTCGTTTTTGGAACTCCCAGTCCTGTGGTATGGCCTCGGGGCTCTGTGCTGCGCCCAGCAGGTTTGGCTTTCCAATCACCGGGTCATGGGCGACGAGCCTACCCCCGGCAGCATCCTCCCTCCCCGTGCCACTGCCAGCCTCCGGCTCCGGGCCAATGCCACACCGGCTGGCCCACTTGCTGGAGCTCCCTTCCCCAACTCCTTGCCCATACTTGCTGGCCCAGTCACTCTCCCCGAGGCCGGGGTCTCCTCTGCGGCTCACACCCCCAAGGCTGTAGTCCTGGGAGGCGTCTTGGGACCAGCTAGAAGAGCTGAATCTGGTAGGTTGAGAGTCCGCGGCAATCCCAAACTCACTCTGCAGATCTTTCTGGGCCCAGCCTAGGAGTCCCTGGAAACCAGAAAAAAGCGAGACAAAGAAACAATGCTTAAGGTCAGCCCAGAACAGCAGACGGCGCTGCCCAGTGCCCAAGCCTGCACCAGGCAGCAGAAAAGTCTGGGTGAGAGCCCAGCTGTGTGACCTTGAACAAACTCCTACACCCCTCTGGGCCCAGGAACCTCATCTTCACACAGCAGTGTGGGGCTATTACAGGATTAACCGGGGCACCAAAGCCAAGAACTCAGCACAGTGCCTGGCACGCGGCAGGCGTCAATGGATGCCCCACTGTCCTGCTTGGGCAACACTTGGCTGGGGGCCAGGGGCAAGCTCACCAGTAAGAAGGGTGGGGTAGAAGGGGCACTTTCAACCAGAAAAGTTCAGGACCCAAAGTCCCACAGTAGCCTCCTTTCCAAGGCAAGATTCTAACACAACCCTAACTTTCAGATCTCCCCAAAGTTCCCTGCCGCCCTCCCTCTGGGACCACTACCGCCTATTTAGCCCAGCCCTGGGAGTCCTCTCATCTTTGCCTGGGAGCGCCCCGCAACCCCATTCCACTTTCCCAGACTCACCCCCACGGGAGGGCGCGCCGAGGGCTCAGGCCCGCGGAGCCGGCCGGTCTCATCACGCAGAGCCGCGTTGGCCAGCAGCCGCTCCAGGACGGACATGCTGGCCTCCCCAGTCCCGGCCATGGCCTACACCCACCCGCCCCACG